TTGGAATTTTCTTGGAGTTGTGGAATTTCAGGCTGCAGCTGGGAGAGGAGGGTCTGTCTGCAATGTGATTTATGGATGAGCACAGAGCTTACATATATATATATATATATACACACACACACACACACACACACATCATTAAAACTCAGTAGTAACTGCAGCTATTTGATTTGAATTTAGACTCTCAAAATACCATTTGGCGGAAGTGTTCTATCATTGATATTGCTCAGATTTGGCGGCATATGCAGGAAATAAAACACAGACAACTTTTCCTTGGTTTTATTATGGATTTAAAATTCTCTACTCAGTGCACCCCACTCATTGGCTATGCCTTAGCTCCCTCACCTGGGGGAGGGGGGGACATGGACATTCCCCTGAAGCTACTGGACTTGCCTCTTTTTTTTTTTTTCTTAAGATTTTTATTTATTTATTTGACAGGTAGAGTTATAGACAGTGAGAGAGAGAGACAGAGAGAGAAAGGTCTTCCTTCCATTGGTTCACTCCCCAAGTGGCCGCCACGGCCGGTGCTGCGCTGATCTGAAGCCAGGAGCCAGGTGCTTCTCCTGGTATCCCATGCGGGTGCAGGGCCCAAGCACCTGGGCCATCCTTCACTGCACTCCCGGGCCACAGCAGAGAGCTGGACTGGAAGAGGAGCAACCAGGACTAGAACCCGGCGCCCATATGGGATGCTGGCACCGCAGGCAGAAGATTAACCAAGTGAGCCAAGGCACTGGCCCTTGGACTTGCCTCTTAATAGGTAGTGTTTGTCCAAAGCTAACTCGTCCTTTGTCAAGTAAGTACACAACAAGTAAGTATACAAGTAAGTATACAACATCTGCATTTCTGCAACTATGATTATGTCTCAGTTATGGTTGGAGGAGGATTCGGAGAGCTTCTCTCCATATTAGAGAAAGGAAATAGGGAGACTATGACAGTGGCATTTTATTTTAGTTTTTGTCAAAGATGTGGACAACAGTTTAAGGAGTAGTTTTTTTTTTAATTTTTTATTTATTTATTTGAAGGAGAGAGGAAGAGAGATTTTCCACCTGCTGGTTCACTCCCTAAATGGCCACAAGGGCCAGAGTTGGGCTGGTCTGAAGCCAGGAGCCAGGAGCTTCTTCCCACACCCAAGGAGTTGTGCCATCTTCCCCTTCATTCCCAGGCACATTAGCAGGGATTTGGATCAGAAGTGGAGCAGCCGGGACTCAAACCGGCTCCCCCAGGAGATGCAGATGTCACAGGTGGACCCAACGGTGGCCCCAAGGTAGTTTTATAATGCTGTTTACAAAGATTGACCCTTCCTGGCCTCCTCAATGTCACTCCCCAAAGCAATCACTTTCATCCCCTTTAGCTTTTTCCTTCTAGTATTTAGCTCTTTATTTGTGTCTTACTTTTTCAGTTCTTGATATTAACCACTGATTTCCTACCCCAAGATAGGCTCCAAATCTCTTGCAGCCTCAGCCCCTATTCAGGCACACTTATCTTCCCCAATTTTGATTTTGATTCAAATCATACTGTTTTTCTTAAGCCAATGTTAGATTGTAATCCTTCAGAAGTGACTACTTTAATATTATCCAGAACTATTATAAATTTGAATATTATTCAAATGCATGTAATCACACGTATTTTCTAGTACAATCTTTTTTTAATGCCTCAAGTTAATAATTGCTTTGGTTTTCATTTTTTGTTTCTCTGCTTGCTTTCCTATGATCCTATTTAACTCATCCCCAAATTCTCAGAAATGTAAACTCTCCAGACATTCGAATGCAGCAGATAACCCTTCAGTTCTCATTGTTTTTCCTTTGGGAACATCCCCTTCTGGAGCCTTCTATCAACTGTTCCAATACTGGATGGACTGCACTCTGTGCTGCCTACGTGGCCACAGTACTCTGGGAGCAGGCTTCTCCCACGGTCTAATAACTCCCTTGGTTTTCCTCTACTTCCAGGGTCCTGCATCTTCAGTATACATAGTTTACACCCACATGTGTTGAAGGATATCATCTAATAGCATCCTGAAAATGGGTTCTTGGGAGAGCAGAGCAAAATTTGGACTCTGTCTGACATGTATCTCAAATGAAGATTATTCCACACCTATATTTGGTTAACTTTTGACTGTGTATAAAATTCTATGTAGGAATTAATTTCCTCTAAAATCTTTGGTCCATTGTCTTCCAGTTTCCAGTGTTCCAACCAGTTTCTTAATGTCCCACACTTGGACAGACTGGAAGACCCTTTTCCAGGTGTAGTGAACAGAGAATCAAGCAGATTTGACTAGTGCAAGGTGTGAGTTGTGGTGGAGGTTGTGGGGTAGCACCCAGACCAGGTTTCCAGGGCACAAGGCACTCACCTCCCACAGGCTTTTAGAAACATAGTCTGTTACAGGCTTGTAGCTTATGTCCTCCCAAGAATTTATCTTCAGCCAAAGGTTATCTCAGGGGACCATGTCCAATGCTTGATTAATTAATATTATATTTTCTCCCATCTCTCTGAGAAAGTTTTACTTTTGAGTATTTTTATTTGCTTGCCAATATCTGAATGATGTCTGTTTCTTCTCATTTTTTTTAATCGTTTCTCTTTTGCTTTCACATTAGGTACTGATCAAATATTTGACTGTCCCTTGGCAATGTGTTCACGTAGGACCATGAGACACTAAGAAGCTGACTGGAAGCTCTGGGAGGTTTAGTATCTGGAGGATTTACTCTGGGATAATCTGCGTTGACTGTCACCCTCCTTTCAGGATCTGTGGTTTTCTTCTCTTGAACTGAAGAATTTTCCCAGGGAGGAGCCTTCCATTCTCCTGTGTATTTGATAGGTGAGTGGGCTAGTGAGAAATGGGAGTGTCAGTACTCAGGAAGTGCTCTTTTCGTGTGCTGGGTCACACCCCGTCCCCAGGGCATTTGGGTCTTTCCTGAGAAGGCCCACCTGCAAGGTGTGTTCTCGTCACTCAACTTTGCTGCCTTGCTTCCAGTGGCTCTGTCTCACACTGGAATCCTTTCTTGCGTGAAGACAATCACCTCTGATCAGCCATTGCCAGTTCATAACCATTCTCCTGTCCCCGTGTTTGTGCCCTTTTTCCCCTTCTTCTGTCACTGGGTGTGTTTTCAAGAAGTATCAGGGGATAATGCATGCATTCAATCATTTATGTTTTGCCCAAACCCATTTTATAGATGGAACAATTGAGGTCCAGGGAGGGATAATGACTTGTCCAAGGTCATGGAACACAGCAAGGCCAGTCCCCAGGCTAGTGGTCCTATTGCAGACATCAGAAATTCAATACAGTGATTTGGGAGAAGGTTGTGTTTAAAGTGAGAGCATGTGGGGATGGCCTGAGTGTTATTTTTTCATTAATTATTTTTAAAATTTATTTATTTATTTATTTTATTTGAAAGGCAAGAGAGACAGAGAGAGAGCTTCCATCCACTGGTTCCCTCCTTGAATGCCCACGGTGGACAGGGTGTGGCCAGGCAGAAGCCAGGAACCAGGGACTTAACCCAGGTCTCCCATATGGGTGGCGGGCACCTAAATGCTTGGGTGATCAGCAGGCCTCCCAGGGTCTGCTGATGTGGACCTGGGACTTAAATCAAGGCAGTCATTCTAAGTGGATGCAGACATTCTAAGCAGCAATTTAACTGCTGTACCAAACGCCCATCCCAGAAAGAGATGTCATTATCCTTGTTTTTTGTTTTGTTTTGGTTTGGTTTTGTTTGGTTTTTTTGTTTGTTTGTTTTGGCCTTTTCTATTTCACTGTCTTCAGACTCCTTCAAAATATTCATAACCTACAGCAGCCCTTTCTTGTTTACCACTATCCTAATAGCAGCCAAGCCCCTTACTATTCCTATACTCTACTCCATTCTTGCCTAGAAAAACAGTCTGTGTTTTTAAAATGTAGTGATTCTCAAACTTCTCACACCCTCAAATGCTTGCAATGACTCCCCATTTTCTATGGGATCAAATGCAAATTTCCTAGTTACTCAATAATTCTGAACTAGCTGGGGAGAGGGGAATGGCAGGGAAAGGTGCAGGGAACTGATGGCAGCAACTTAACTACAGAAGGAGCAGCACATGTTGGTGACAGGGAAGGTTACAGATGACTGCCAGCTTGGCTGACTGGGGAGAGCTCCGTCCTGGGAGCCCACAATGCCGGGGAGCCTGGGTTCGTGCACAGCGATATAGAGCAGGCATGGTGGCAGCCACACGGGCAGTAGACCAATGGGAACACAGAGTGAGCGAAGGATCTCAGAATCGCAAAGTGTTGACCCACTTCCCAGTGCAATGCCGAAAGAAGTGGCAGCTCCAGAAATGGCAAAATCCAAGGGCATCTCCTTGGGATAGGGCTATTTGAGTGGGTTTTAGCAGGAGAGAAAGAAGACCACAAGGGGAGGGAGGGAAGGATGTTGTTAATGCACCAGTGCCCTGTTCTCAGAACGGAAGGCTGCCTGATCCCCACTCCTGTTGCTGTGCTAACAAGCTACTTTGACATCCGTGCCTTATAATAACACAGTCGCTCTGAGGTCAAAGTCTCAATTGCAGTCTTCCTGGGCGGGAGTCCTCTGGAGGCAGCTGTGGACTCTTCGGCCGACTCCAGCAAATAATCGGATTCCTTGCTTCCTGAGTGGCTACTGGCTGCCCACAGCCCTGCCTCGTGACCCGGTTTCTCCAGCTCACACTTCTGGTCCTCTCACCAGTTCCTTTATCTGAGCCTGACCCCCTCGCTTCACTCTTGTAAGGACACTTGCTCTTACTCACCTGGGGAATGCAAATAATCCGTCCATCTCAAGAGCCTGGAATGAATCCGTCTGCAAAGCCTGTTCTGCCCTGTAACCTAACACAGTCACAGGTTCTGGGGGGTTAAACACGAACACTCAGGTAGGGACAACCATTATCTGTCTACCACCTAAATGTCAGATAACACTTGTCACCCTCAGTTCTTGTCAAGATATGATCTCTCTCCATATATATTGATACCACTGAATGAAAAAGTAAATAAATGAGCGAAGAACTTCGAGAGATTCAACACATTTATTATCGGGTCCATTATGTGGTGGGATATGTCTTAGATTATTTTTAGAAGGTATTCAGGAAATCATTATTTATTCCATAAACTTGGCCATGCTTGGTTTCCAGGGGGCGATTCTCTGTCATATTAAAGTGCTAGTTCATCAATTCACATGGAATGAAACAAAAGCCAAGAAAATATCACTTAAAAAAACCCATTAATCTCAAAGCACCCACAACCAGAGCAAAACCAATACCAACACAATCAAAAAACGAAAGCCCGTTTCTTCCTCTCCCTGTCCCTGTCACACCACTAAAGACAAGATCGTTGTCCTGGGACCAAGATCCAGAACTGCCACTCCCCGCATAGGAACCACCTGTGCCGCGGAACCCTTCCGAAGGTACCGTGATGAGCGGCAGCCCCACTGAAACCCTGCTGCTGCTTCCTCCATGGTTTCTCTCCAGATGGTCTGGCCCTGACCACTTCGCCTTGGTTGGGAGTGGGGATTTGGAAGGTGCTATCACGTGGCTCTGAAAGCCCTGTACACAGATGCCCAGGGCACACGCCTCACAGTTGTCCTTGTCATGGGGCCCATCCAAAGGCACCTCCACCTTCACCGGCATCCTTGGAAACTTCTGGAGGCCATCTCTGTAGTAGCACTCCAGAATCCTCTGCACCAGGTTGTTCAGAATCTGAGTGACGCTCTCTGGAGAGAACTCGGGCTTCTCGAATCGCGAGCCGTAGCACCTCTGGCACCGCTGAGCAAAGAGCCGCATGCGCACATGGCCCCAGGAGCTGCAGGGGTCCCAGTGCATGTGGCACAGGATCTGCACCTGGGCAGAAGCCCAGCTTCGCCAGCAGGAGGAGCACTGGAACCTGCAGGCACAAGGAAGAGGCGCACGGTCATCTCAGCTCATGACTGGCCTCGGGGAAAGTGGGTCTAACCTTGTCTTTACAGCCGTTCTGTTTGGAAGAGTTCTGGTGATTCGGATGGTCCTGGTCGCTAACCAGTGCCAAGGAGGGGGCTTGGGGTTCAGATAAAGCTTTTTCTGGTGACCTGATGAGTTTCTGCCCATATACTGTCCCCAGCTCTGTCACCTTGCAAGTAAAAACGTCTCTCGTTGCCTCAGGGGGGATGGGGAATTCTTGCCCCTCCATATGGGCACAGAAAACTTGTAGTAGGTACCTCTCTGCAGGCCAGGGCAGACATGGGCGCTTCACAGCCAGATCTCATTGCATCCATAAAGCACTTCCATTGTGCCATGTGTCCAGATAAAGAAGCTGAGCAGTAGAAACCAAACACAAGCGGCTGGAGACACAGGTCAGTGACTGAGGGCCATTTCCAACCCCAGGCCAGTGCAAGGCAGCCTTGCTTCTCACCCACTACTCCAGTCACCCTAGTGGACAGCATAGTCCACCTTGCACCTGCCAATCACCAGACCAGGACCTGGCGCCACACGCACTCGAGCTGAAGACCCAAGGATCTATAGTTTACCTAAGGACCCCATTCCCTCCTCTAAGCCTCAATTTTTAAATCCAAAAAATGAAAATATTCAAGAGTGATGTTGTCCTCATCCAAAGAGACAATGGATATGAAAACACTTTACAAAGTGTAAAATGCTTCTTTTCTTCAAAGGCTAATTGATGTTTTCCGAATCTATTGTAGGTAGGTTGCTTTCCCCAGCTCAAAATGACTGTCAAATCAATTCATCTGCAGAGCCCTTAAGAGGCTTCACTAAAACAATAGATTCTGTGGTGAAAACAGACAATAATTTATAGAATATGCAGCACAGAAGCAGGTATCATTTATGAATGTATTAGTTTGAAATATAGCATAATGTTTGCGTGTTACATATATAAAGTCATTATTATATATATTATATATCTAAAAAGAGTCATTATCATATACATAGGTAGGAGGTGGGATCACTCGCTCTGCCTGGGAGGTCGGGGGATTCTTTAAGGGGGGAGGCGGCACTTAAGTGGTCCTGGAAGGCTGAGGAGGAAGGGGATGGAGGAAGGGGCTGCCCACCGGGCACAGCATGCTGCCCATGGGCACAGACATGCCAGGATCTGCCTGGTATGCCGAAAGATCCCTCAGCCATGGCAGAGCCTTGGAGGCAGGAGAGGGCAGGCGAGCAGGACGAGAGGTGAGATGTCACACACAGGAAGAGAGGGCCTGGTTGTCCCAGCCAGCAATTCTCATGCCCCTGACATGGGAGAGGAAGTGGGCTCAGAAGGGTGGGGGCATTCCCGCCGGCCTCCAGGAGGTGGGTGTTAGAGGCCGGTTTGGCTGCATCATTTTCTCCCATCATCCCCAGGCTCCAGTTCCTGTTCAAAGTGAGCACCTGCTCTTCTACAATTCCTAGAGCAGAAGAGCAAGGACCCAGCCCCAGGTCTGTCTGGCCCGCACCAGGCCACGGCCAGGAGGGCCGATGCAGCCTGGAGAAGCTGCTCAAGGCTGCCAGGGGAGCCTGCAGAGGACCCGAGAGGGGGAGCTTAGTTGCTGCTCACTCTTCAGCAAGGGCTCAGAGGAATAGATCAATGCTCAGCCAAAGACTCTTCTCCAGGGCAGGCCTAAAGCTGAGGGCACCCACACCCACCTGCCGAATGCTCTCTGCCGGTACTGCCTCCACCCTCGGTCCAGGCAGTCCGGATTCACGGTCTCATCCAAGCTCAGCGTCCAGTTGTCCCAGGGTTTCTCCTGCTGCATCAGTTCTTGAAATCTTTGCTCCCATGCCTCTATCTCCACAACCATTGTCTTCCTCTGAGGCTGCGAGTCAGTGTGCAGTGATTCACATTCAGTTCCGCTCTGGACCTAGCATGAGGAAGAAAAAAAAAAAAACCTACAGTTTCGTTTCTGTGTTAAGTTTCAGTTTCTGGGTTTGGACGTCAGCGACTTTTAACTTTCGTTTTGCACGGGGCGGGCGCGCTTCCTTCCGACAGAGGGCAGCAGAGTTCCTTCAGCAAAAACAGGCTCCGCAGAGGGAGCCAGCGGCTGGCTGCCCGCGCCGTGCTGCGGTAGCTGCTGGGGGAGCAAGCAAGTCAGCTTTTCTTATTTTCTCTGATTTTCACATTGGCAAAGCAGTGTGCGTGGCAGCGTGGCACGAGTGCCTTCAGCGTCTGTTTCCTGAGTTCCCTCTGACCGACACCAGCCACCGCTCCAGGTCAGCTCGGTCTGAAGGCTTGAGGCGGTGATGGGAGATTTGCGGGCTGGAGGAAGCGCACCACCTTCTCCACCGCTAAGAAGGAAGAGAAGGAAATCGCCACCCCTTTGTAAAGCCCCACAAAGCACCTAAGCCCCTCATTACTCTTTTCTCTCTCTTTTTTTTTTTTTTTTTTTTTTTTTTTTTTTTTTTTTTTTTTGCGTCAAAGCATTAGAACTCTGGGAAGACGAGGTTGTGCAATGTGGTAGTTGCCAGAGACTTTAGATAGCATCTTGTGACTGCATCCTTCCACCTCACTGATACCCAGTGAAGGAAACTGACTTATGCAAGCACACAGTGATGATGGTAGCCTGCATCAGGTTTCCATCAACTGTTGGTGCATTAGGATAGATGGGCTAAACGACTACTGAAAGCTCAAAAAGAGAGAGATTCCCCAAAGGAAACGAACCACAAACCAACTCTGGAAGAAGAAGTCATGGAAAAACTTAGATTTTTGCTATTTCATGGTTGGAAGGAATCTACAGGATCATCTACCATGGCGATTGCAAGTGATGTCCTCTGTTGTCTTACCCAAGACAGATGTCAATCAACGCTTTCACCTTTTTCTCTGGGTCCACAGTGACTACAGAAGCCCTCTCATCACAGTGTTCCATACAGCCACAACTGACTGATCAGTAAATGGAACATTCTTGACATTCCCATAATAGTTCAACTCCCTTATTTTACAAGTTACAGAAACTGAAGCTGAGAGAAATTTGGTTTAACAAAGGTTTACACTTGGTTTTTGTAACCTTGGGCATATACCCATTTTCGAAATAGCACATGACCCATCACAAATAAGACTAATGCAAAGTCTAACACACACATGACATGTATTTTTCTTGGAGACATTTTAGGCTTGGGAATAAAGAAGGCTGGACTTGCGTGATAAAGACAGATGGGGGTCAGAGGGGAAGAGGAGGTAGCACTCGTATGCAGTTGCTCACTTATTTCTATAGTTACTCCAGCTCTGAAGTGGAAAGGGATGCAGGGTTTTAGTCTGGTAAAAGGAGAAAAACAAGAAAGCGACAATTTATTTACATTTTAGAAATCTGACTTCTTTGACGTAAACTCTGTTAAATATATGTGGATCAGATACAGAAAAAGGTTTCAGGTAATTGAATGGAGAACGTGCTTCAGCTCTTCAGAGTAGGGAAGGATCGGTTCCGGACTTGACTCTTCTGTGTTGGAGATGGCAAACACACCCATTTATTCTCACCTCCTTGATTCAGAGGTGAATTGTCAAACAAGTGACACAGCCGGGAGTCAAACTTCTTTGTTAGGAACTAGTGCTGTGGTATAGCGGCTAAAGTCGCTGGCTGCTCCACTTCCGATCCAGCTCTCTGCTGTGGCCTGGTAAAGCAGTCAAAGATGACCCAAGTCCTTGGGCCCCTGCACCTGCGTGGGAGACCCAGAGGAGACTCTTGGCTCCTAGCTTCAGATCAGCTCAGCTCTGGCCATTACAGTCATTTAGGGAGTGAACCAGTGTATAGAAGACCTCTCTCTCTCTTTAATTCTCTCTCTCTCTCTCTCTCTCTCTCTCTCTTTACCTTTCAAGTAAATAAGTAAGTCCTTTAAAAATAATTTCTCTGTTGCCACACTAAATCCCAGGAAAGTCTGTATATTCCGAAAGAACGAATGAGTAGAAGAGCAGACAAGAGGCGCAGGGAGCCATTCGGGGGATCAGAGTGGGTGTCTTCATCTGCTCCTCTAAGAATTTCACTCTCAGAGGCCACGCCGCAGCTCACTAGGCTAATCCTCTGCCTAGCGGCGCCGGCACACCAGGTTCTAGTTCTGGTCGGGGTGCCGGATTCTGTCCCGGTTGCCCCTCTTCCAGGCCAGCTCTCTGCTGTGGCCAGGGAGCGCAGTGGAGGATGGCCCAAGTCCTCGGGCCCTGCACCCCATGGGAGACCAGGATAAGTACCTGGCTCCTGCCATCAGATCAGCAGGGTGCACCGGCACGGCAGCCATTGGAGAGTGAACCAACGGCAAAAGAAAGACCTTTGTCTCTCTCTCTCTCACTGTCCACTCTGCCTGTCAAAAAAAAAAAAAAAAAAAAAAAAAAAAAAAAAAGAATTTCACTCTCAGGACAGAAGCCCTTGGAAACATCTTAGAATGGGCCACTGCTCAGTTAGGACTTCCCCTAGAGGGGAAGAAAGGTGAAGATGTGACATCATCTTGGAATTTAAGGACGGAACTGGTTCTCCTCTCACCACTGCCCCTCCACTACCTGTTATGGGTCATGTTATGACTGATGACACCAGGGGATTAGCGGAAATAAGAGAAAGCAGAGGCCAGGCTGCGGCTCACTAGGCTAATCCTCCGCCTTGCGGCGCCGGCACACCGGGTTCTAGTCCCGGTCGGGGTGCTGGATTCTGCCTCGGTTGCCCCTCTTCCAGGTCAGCTCTCTGCTGTGGCCAGGGAGTGCAGTGGAGGATGGCCCAAGTGCTTGGGCCCTGCACCCCATGGGAGACCAGGATAAGTACCTGGCTCCTGCCATTGGATCAGCATGGTGCGCCGGCCATGGCGGCCATTGGAGGGTGAACCAACGGCAAAGGAAGACCTTTCTCTCTGTCTCTCTCTCGCTGTCCACTCTGCCTGTCAAAAAGAGAGAGAGACAGAGAGAGAGAGAGAGAGAGAGAGAGAGAGAGAGAGAGAAAGGAGAAAGCAGAAGATTCCAAGGTGGCAGAATAGGGGAAAAGTGTACTGCTCAGAGGACAGTTAGAAAGAAAACTGCAGTGGAGATTCTATGGAAGGAAGAAGGACACCATGGATCTGTGTGGAAGGTGCAAATGTGTAGCAGAAGTGTGAACACAACACAGGACCCCAGCAGCCCCAAGCCAGAGAAAGTGCCAGCTTTGGAGAGCAGGGGAGATTAGATTGCAGCAGCCCATGCCATTGGTGATACAGCTGGAGGGAGAGCCTGGCAGACCATGCTGTCTTTGAGTCTGGCCTGGAATCCTGAGGGTGACAGGGTGCACACTAACCCAGTAGGAAAAAGTGGCACCTTTCTCTCTTCCATCACCCCCAACAACAGTGTCCAGCAACTGGCTGAGAAAGGGTAGATGCCAGTTTGGACATAAGTAGCTTTTGCGGCAGGTCTTGTGCATGCACCCAGCAACTGGTGGGGAGAAGATGCTGTCTTGACAGCAGGATCAGTGGCAGCAGCTCAGGTGCATGCACCCTGCAATGGATGGGGTGAAGGAGCCATTCCAACATCAATGCCAGCTACAGAGGCCCTTGTACGTGCCCTGCAATCAGCAGGGAGAAGGCACCATGGTGAAATGAGTAGGGGCTGTGACTGATGGCTCTTGTGCATGCGTGTGATCCAGGGATTATACCAGAGGGGAAAATCCACTTTACCCATGGACTTTATGGGAGTATTGACAGGGGACTAGACACCCATGCAGGACTGTGAGGTACCCTGAGATACCTTCAGCCTCTCAACATATCATAGGTTGTGGGGTACATACTGCCTTGATGGAGCACCCGTAGACACCTGGCTCTGGGAATGTCTCAACCTCTCCATGGAAGGGAAAGTTTAGTTGATCAAAATGGATCCTCTGCACCCATGACTGGGATACCTGTGTGCTGAGACTTAGAAAACAAAACAAAGCAAAACTGAAAACAAACAAACAAAAAGCCTGTGCAATCGCTTGTGTAGGTTCACACACTCAGAGCTCCCTGATTGCCTGGGGTGGGTCATTGCAGTGGGATTCATGCTCACACTGAGGACTGCACAGATCTTTTATGAGGTTCATGTACCAGTGTGGATGACTATTGTTCCCACAGTATGCTAACACCCAATATTGATCACTTCGAAAAAGAGACGGCGAGGGTATGATTATGTCAACATATGTGATCATATCCTCCTTTCTTTTAACAAGAGGACATCTATGATGCTCAACTTGGGTATCACCCTGCTCCTGTGTGGAGCATGGACCAGAGCCTCCTGGCCACACTCAACACATGCCCTGGGTATTCACTGAAAGAGCAGATAGTCCACTAAGCCACAGAGGTATAGCTCAAACATGCAAGCCATCAGAGGATTAAAACTAAGTATCTCCACAAATGCCTAAAATAAACACAGAATTTCAAGAAACAAGAATAAGGAAGACAACATGGCCCCCTCCAAAAGAACACAACAACACTTCAATATTGTAATGTGAAGAAAAAGAGGTTAATGAAATGTCTGAAAAGAAATTAGAAAAATTAAAAACATTGTTGGAGATTTCTGTGATACTATAAAACAACCTAGCATACAGATGTTAGGAGTTTCTGAAGGTGTGGAAATACAGAATGGATTAGAAGGTGATTTCAATGAAATCATTACAGAAAACTCTAATTTTTGAGAAAGAAATGGAGGTCCAAGTACATGAGGCACATGGAGCTTCTTATGGACATGACCAGAAAAATTCTTCACTGCCACACGTTGTTGTCAAACTTTCACCAGGAAAACACAGAGAAAAGTCTCTAAAATGTGCTCAAGAGAAGCACCAGATTACTTTCAGAGGACCTCCAATGAGACTCCAAGGTGACTTCTCATCAGAAACCCTACAGGCTAGGAGAGAATGGAGAGATGTAGTCTAAAAGAAAAAGAAAACTGTCAACCCAAAATACTGTACCCTACAAAGTTC